ACGAGCTGCCGATGTGTTTCAGAAAGAGCGCAAACAAGGCAACGTGGCCAGTGTTTGCCTACCTGGCCTACCATCGAGATGACAGAGGGCAGCTTTCTGTCACTGTTTGAGGTTCTCGCGGAGCGTCATCTCCGGATCGTGCATTCCCCGGTGAGTTAGAGCGATGCGCCATTGGACAAAGAGCAACTGCCACAATGTGTGGCTTGCATGCGCAAGCATGCCGTACGAAACTCGCTCTGGTCATGAGCATGCACGTCAGAGCGGAGAACTGTGGCCAGGATCGGCAGAACATATGAAGAATCGAGATCTGGGGTTCGGTTGAGGAGGTGACGAGGGGCAGAGGGAGGGGGTACTGGCGAGACTGGCTCGGAACTGGCTAGCTGCGGAACAACATTTGCATTGCGCATAGCTCGATCTAAGCTCTCCACTGGAGCTTCGGTGCTCCCCTAACTGTGATCCAGACCTTGTTGTTTCCCATGTGTCAGAGCACTTGCATGGCCATGACAGGCACTCTTGCATTCCTTCAGATTCGGATGCGTGATCATGTACGGAGCTGGCAAACACTAAACACCCAATAGGATACTTTGTACACTGCCCCTGCAGCACTGGTGCCCTTTTAACTCGCGCATCTGTTCCAAAAGGACGGGCTCGGCAGGCTCACCGAAGAACGTGTAACTGGCAGCAGCGTTTCGCAGTGGCTTTCGATAGATGCATATCTGGTAACCACGCCTCTAACGTAGAAAATGGGTCAACTTGACAGTCTGCCAGGAACAACGCTGCCGATCAGATAGGACAGGGAACAGGAATGTGCGATGTTGTCATATGGGAACTTGAAGAAAGTAGACGAGGTAGATTGGAACATCACTACCAGTTTCAGACAAATCGATCCTGAGAAACATGGCAAAATCGCAATTACCCATCTTTCAGACGTCAGGCTGGGGACTTTCACATGCCCCCCACCGCAGTAAACTGCCCCTCAGCCTAGTACCTACCCCTCGGCTTGCCCCTCCAGTTAGAGATTAGGTGGTATCTTGCTTAATGGTGACGTCAGGTAGGCAGAGCAAAAGGCTCGCGCGGCTTTGCGTTTCACCGCAGCTACGACCGACAAATGCATGTTTCCCATATGGGCTTGTCACCTTTCAATGTTCCTGCTTGCAGGTAGCCCGGTAGCCTAATGCGCATAGGTAGAAAGCGGGACAAAGAAGAGACAAATAGGGAATGACGTACTTCGTACTGTCCACATGACGGGTTCTAGCCTGGTACCTGCCTTTCAACCTCAGATTCACCCAAGAAACGGGATGAACGCTCCACCAAAAGTCACTGTGAAAGCAGCCCATGCCCATCGTTCATTGGTTTGCACCTGCCTTGTGTGCTTTTGAGTCGCAAAGCCTAGGCAGGAACAACGGTTTCCCAAGGCATCCAACTCACAGGTCACTGTGTATATAAACCTTGCCCGCCCTCCTCTTCCGACCCCTCCTCTCTTCTTCTTCATCCACAACCACAACCTCAAATCTCAACCTCAGCATTCACAACAACAACCACACACACAACCAACCAACCCAACCAATCTATCACAATGGATAACGTCAAGAACGCCGCTAACTACGTCTCTGACACCGTCAAGAGTACGCTGCCTTTCCTTATCCTCGTCGCCTTCGATACAGCTTACTGACATCTCTCCCACAGGCGCTACCAACACCGGCTCCAAGGAGGCCAACAAGCAGGTCGCCAAGGACTCCGATGCCAGCATCGGCACTCGGTTTGTTTACCCTCTATCCTTCACTATCACTTCACCTTGCTGACTTTGCTGCTTCCAGTGCCTCCGCTGCCAAGGATGCCGTCGGTGACAAGATCGACGAGCAGAAGAACGACAAGTCTGCCACCGTCCACAAGGAGGCTGCCAAGCACTAAATTTGTTTCCCTCTTCGACAAACAAATTGCCGTGTACGATGATGAGGCATGAACAAGGCGTCTGGGACATTCAGACTGTTTCTTTGGGTCCGATGTGATGGCACACACTATGGTTCTCTCCTAGGAGATGTTCTCATTCAAGCATGCTGGTATACCCCTAAGATAGTTCTTATACAGAATTAAGCTGCTTTGCCAATCATCTATCATGGCTTTTCTTCGCATTGTGATTTGTGCGATAATGCTTAACTGGCCTTGTCAGCTGTCCTCGTACTATCTGTTTTCCACAGCCATCATCACTTGACTTGCCTGAACATCGCGCATTCTCAGCGGTGTTTCCTACCGAAACGTCTAACGCTTGCTATTTATCATGACTGTTCTAGTGCACCATCTGTAACGACGCGATTCGGCTAGGTACAGTGATGACGGTCGCGGACAATGGGTAGGCGGGGGAGGTTCTTCGCCCAGAGGAGCTCTGGATGTTTGCACGGCCAAATCATTTCTCAATGCAAACCCAGATGCCGAAAGTTGGCCTGACAATATTTAATCCCGCCAACTTGTTGGTGGGTAAGCAATGGCTTCATCAACAGAGTTCATTGCTGGCGGTGCTATCTTGTCTACGCCATTCCTTCATCGTGCTCCTTGGGTCACCTACAAACCCTATCTGGGCCTCTTCCTCGCCCCTCCGAGGGCATTTCTTGGCCCATTCGCTACGAAGTACACCAACCACTGGAGAATCAACGCCCCCGCCTCGGGGACATGTCGACAAGGCGAACCTGAAATAGGATCGCAACTGAAGGTTTGCAGTTCGCATCGATCCAGATGCCATCAAACTGACCCGCGCCTGCTCAACGGTCAGCGATCACCCAACCTCGCCGAACACTCAGGGCCACGGCTTGGCATAATAAGCTCCCCAGTCCCATAGTAGGCTTTTAGACGATGAGGCTAGTTTCGACGAGATTTGGAATCTCTTCGCGGCCAAGTTTCGAGAACAATTCTGGGAGGGAATCTTGTCTTGTCGATAAGGTTGAACTATTGTAGGTCATCTAGTCCCCTGACTATATTCTCGCATAGTGTAGCTCACGATGCATTCTAGTTGGCTGGGTTGCATCGACTAGTACCAGCTTCCGGCGCTTCTTCGAACACGAAACCCACGTCGATAATCTGATTACCGACTCGACCAAAGGGGCTGTACGACTTCGATCCGGCAAGGTCCACGCTATGGAAATGTCATAGGTTGAATCGAACATCAATCACCCAACAACGGGCGAGCCTCCTAAGTTCCCTGAGTCGACTCTGTCTTGGGATCCGGTCAAGATTCCGGCTTTCACAATGGTCCCATGTCCGCCTTCACAGCACTCCAGCATGTCTGCAAGGTCACGGCACCTTACCGGCAATAGCTCGCGCAGAAGGTGAGAACCCAGACGGTGTCGATCACTTCCCGCCTCGATACGATGGGATTAAAGACAGCTACTCAGACCACGTCGATCATAAGCAGATGGCAATCGGCGATGATCATTTTCGCGGGCGGAACTACAATGTCATTTACGATGCGCGTAACCGAGTACCACCTCGGGAGGAACCCCGACGCGGACGCGAGACTGACACTCGAGCTGAGTGCGGTCCAGCTAACGCTGCCGGCACTGTGGAAAAACATCAACAAGCGACCGTATCTCGACGGCGTCGTGCGCGGTTCTTTTCGGGGCACCTACGGGCTTGCCATTGTGCCCAAGCGCTGGTGCTCGACAGCGGCTTTTGCCTGGCGGATGGACGCTTCATTTACGCCGATGCGGTCGTGAGCGCCAATACATCCGTGAAAAACGGCGATATTGGGGTCTTCGGCGACAAGCTCGACGAGTTCGACCCGGGAAGATGGTTGAAGCATGACTGGCAGAATGGTTGACGAGTTTGCGAAGAAACTGAGGCGACCGGAAGAGGTTGGTGGCTTCGTGCGTCTGATCCGCCGGTGATTCATCCTGTTCCCTGATGTCGAAGGTTAACTAGTAGCCTCTGGCTGGCCTTCGAGCTGGGAAATCGAGTATGCCTGGGGCGATTCGTGGCGCAGTTGGAGGTTTTCGAGCTTTCTGCTGCCTTGTACTGGGTTCACCATGTGAGCTGACAAGGAAAGCCACTCTGAACATTTATCGATGCAATATCTCCGACTGCTTTGCCCGGCGCTACGTGTGATATAAACCGCTTTCTGCAGATCAAACTCGCGGGCCCGTCTCATCAATGACGGTACCACAACGCGTTTTTGTGTGTCAGTGGGATATGTTGATTGTTATAACGCCTACCTTAGGGGTCACGTCTTGGCCATAAGAGTGATCGTACAATCAGAGGGCTTACGGCCTCTGATATCGTTGCAATCCACTGAGTCTCTATTCTATTTTATCTCGATGAGATATCTGCACTTGACTGAGAATACACATCATTGAAACGAAACTAAAGCGCTTCCACCGGAACGAGCGTTAATCTGTGAAGCAGGCAACTCTTTTGGATCCCGGGGCAGATCGCAGATATGGCGTTCCTCCCTGGCCGTCCATTAGGCATGGTATCTGCGGTAGAGTGGCACTGGTGACTGGACTATAGGCCAGAGACAGACTCCTTTTCGCTTTTGATCTTGAGTGATTGATTGTTATCGGTAGTGATGAAATACGGCATATATACCAATCCTAATATCATCTAGATTTACGAGACTTCTGTACGGTCTCGTACACGAGATCCTAAGCCTTGGGAAACCCTTGCCAGGCTATCTCATGCATCTCTTGGAGCATACAACGAGACTGTCCAGGTAACAGAAAGCAGTTATGTATTGTAAAGCGGCCGGTTGTATGATGTGTATACTTAATGCACAGAGGCAGCGTGTGTCAGAGACTCCTGTAACTAATGGTCTTCAGTTTGCTCATATCCGGAGGGAAACCAAGCTACCTTCCTACATACAGGTACGTGCAAAAATATTAGGAGCATTCACACGCACGAATGAACGTAGTAAGTATTTGATTCAATCAATACACATACATATATGACGGATACCGAACAAAAAGAAGGGAAAGAAAAAAAAACAATCTATCGCTGCAAAATGGCAAAAGTAACTCCCCCGGACAGGCTTGAACTGTCAACCTCTCGATTATCTGCTATATCATAACAGTCGAACGCGCTAGCCAATTGCGCCACGGAGGAATGGGCTGTGTTGCTTGATGGAGATTGGGTTGCTAGCGACCTCTATGTGGCGCGCATAATCTCCGGTGGGGCTCGTTAAGCTTCTGCAGACCCTAACTTTACTCACGACTGGCCTAGAAAAAAGAATAGCATTTAATTGACGCCTGTGTACAACTTATCAAGCAAATCATGAACCACGTAGATATTGCTTTTTACATTGAGGTTTTTGTTGCTGTGGTACAATTTGCTCAACTGAGATTGTCTCGATTTGTTTTCAAGCAGGTCTCTGTGGTGACTCAGTCGATCTAGGCCGCGTTTTTCTATGGTGCTGAGTAGCATTATATCGAACTGTTGAGAGCTTTTGTTCTGAAACAATAAATCCGTACTAAGAATCTTGGAATATCAAAAACGCGGTCGTCGCACGATGCGAAAGTCATTTCAAAGGTGAATGGTCTATGAGGTTCGATGTGTTCCATCGTCGTGGTCTTGATGAGGTACTTGATGCAAGTTATCACCTGACCTGAGATGGCGATGTATATAATTTCAGTTTCTTGACTGATTTTCATGGGCAGCCTTCGTTGCATCAACATCATGAGAAAACAATTTAAACACATCCCGGTCGTCTACTACGAAACTGTCCTCCAGCCGCTGTAGTTAGAGGGCCTTCAGTGGATGCAACGACTGTAGGCGCGGCGAGGAGGGAGAGTACGTTTGTCGGCATATTTACCCAAATATGAGCACACGCATGGCATGAGGACCATTGACGTTGCTTCGGCACGGTTGGACATGATTCTGAGTATGAAAACTTGGTGAATGGCCTTGGGCTGTGGGTAAATAAGACATTGGCACGAAGGGCGGAGGTGCCATATGAACAGGTTTATAGGTAAGGTGGTTAAGGTATGTTTGGTGTGTTCCGTGACTTGAAAAGAGTCGATTTACCTGAAGATTACTTATGAGTGTATCTAGAGGTATTAATCAACTAACAAAGCCATAGCCAGGCAGTCATATCAGCCCATCTCGTACCCATTCTCCTTACTACTCAAGCTAATTGATGCACGAGAAGCTCTATGAAAGATCAAGCCCCCGATTATACCGTCGCAGCTCTTCGAGGACGTCTTGGCATGACGTCTTCTGGTACTCTTCCCATAGATCCAGGATGACTAAGTGATGCGCGCCTATCGGAGGACCAGCTTGATCGACTTGTGACTGCAGTCGACCGTTCGAAGGCCTCAGGTACATTTTCTTTGCCAAGAGTCTCGTACCAAGCAAGAAGAGCGATGACCAGAGCACCTAGACGAGCATACATATTAGCGTAGGTTCTTTTAAGACATTTGAGAGACGAACTGGCTGTCACAATGTAGCTCGCCACTGATGCGCCTGTCTGAACGCTGATCTGGACATCGGCTTCAAAATTGTGGACGGCCACAATCGGCCAGGTGACGCATATTACTATGCTGAGTATTGTAGGAGTAAGGATGGATATAAGGACAGGTGTACTGTCCCAGGCCTCTACAAAATTCAGCGCGAATTCCGGTTCGAGGGTATAGTCAGTTGTAATAGAGTGATTGTTGTTGAAAGGTGTACTCCGTCCCAACCCATGGTCTCTCTCAATAACCCCCATGTCTTTCAGCATCTGTACGATTTGTGTTGGATTATCTGTTGGTGCGTCCTTCCCATAAAGCTTCGCAACTTGGCGATAGTGAATAAACCCTAGAGGCAAAGTGCAACAAGCGCTTCCCGCATACCGCCCGTGTCGCTAGAATTTTGTCAGTTGACAGGTAATAGTGACAGAGCGTTTCCTTCACCTGGAATAATAGTGAAAGACAACAGCAAGCCCACCTTCACCACATCAACCCTTCTCAGAGACTTCGGCGTCAGAAGACTTATGATACCACCGTCAAGCCGGCAATACGCGTAGAACATACCAAGCTGTTTCAGGAACTCAGCATCAGAAGACACGGCGCAGTGATAGTCAAATCTGTACGCATGATTGAGGAATATCGTCACTGTATATGCCGGGTGTGCTGCTCTACACGCGTAGAGGTATTCTGATAGGAACCGATTTCGATCAAACGGCTCCATGAAAAGGAAAAAGATCCAGCCTATTTCGTGACCCAGGAGTATATATACTCGAAAAAGTGATCTAGATCGAATGTAGGAGCGATTGGGGTTTGTCGACTTGCCTATAGCCGGAGCCATTACTATTCTGAAAACGAATTCAACACAGCGTTCCAACACGATACTCTTGTGTCCTGTTCGGTTCCCACGTTCGTCTCTTCCACTGCCACCGCGCCGGAGTGTCCAGAAGACATATTCCAGCCCGACGAGAACGCCCAAAATCAAGCCCAAAATCAATGTTATCATCCACAAGCATGGCCTGGAAGATAAGTAGACGCAGCTTATCAGTCTCCAATTGCTTGGTTTCAGGAGGAGTGAGCCTAGTCGGGGAGGCGTTCGCTTTGTCCTTGGTCGTTCGTCTGTGTCTTCAGATGGCTCGCGTGGCCCCGTTTCGAGCTCCGCGGAATAGGTGGAAGGCAACGATTGTTCCTCTACCGGCGTTGCAGAGCTCGGAACCATTGAGTCAAAATTCTCCACCGACTCGGGCGGTACTGTCAGTAATTCCAAGAAGAAAGGTCAATTATAAGATATACTTGACTTCACGTCGAAAAATCGATCGAGGCGATCGAGGCCTAGTGGAAAATCTTCGGCCCTCAGGCGAATGTTTTAGCGTTAACTATCAAGAGCGAGATTCGAGGCCGCGAAGACAGGCCTCAGGCGGGGTTCAATGGATCTATTTGACTTGGGAAAAACTCGCTTGTGTTCGTTGCTCGTTCTGTATACGTCTATTTCAAAAAGACTCTTCATGATTTCCGGACACCAAGCACAGCATTCCCGATGTGTAACAAAGGCAAGTTCAGAGCCAATGGCTATCTCGACAATCTATGCAAGATTCATTGATAGGTCCAAATAGTGTCCAGCTCAGGCCACCTTCCGGCTACACACCCAGGCAACAGTTCTGACGCCTTCGCAGTGATGGAGAAAGGGCAGAATGTGACCAGCAGTGGTGTGCTCTTCCCCCTCTCCCAACCCCCCCTTTCCCCCCCCTTGATAAAGAGCTCATCAAATGCCTGTTTTCTGAGAGGCTCACATAGTCACATAGAGACGATTCGGTTCAAAGGTAGTACGAAGACGCCGTTCTACTCTTTCGTCACGTCCTTCGCCGAGAAACGCAAGTATGCCGCATCATCTCTCAATATATTGCCAAATTCCTAAATATTTTAGCCTTTCAACTACCCACAGATGCTAATCCAGAATTACTTCAGATCGTCTTGATACCACTGTAACGGCGTCAGACTCCAAATCTCACATCTATACCTCTAGACGTATCTTGTGAGAGTATGATCATGAGGCTAGCGCCCGAAAAACGAGGCACGTGGGTCTGTTCCCTTATATAAGACCAACATGAACAAACCAGCTTTCAAGAACTACAACGGGGGAGAGGTAGGAGGTAAACCGTCATACACATCAACCACGATCTAGTCAAGATCCACGAGTTGCCTAATACTTATTTTAAGCCCCATCAAACAATCGATGTATCGCCAACGCCGTGTCATACATGTCACTGCCAATCCGATGGTGCGATAACCTTCACCAGTGTGATGACTATGCTTTCTCTGCGAGCTTCCAAAACTTAGGCACTTTACTCATTGTGCGAAAGAAGCAAGACCAGAAAACACCATAAACAAACCCCAATATCTTGTAGTGCTCCCCAACTCACATTCTCCTGAATCTGCAAATGGACACAACACACATTCTCCTGAACTCGCAAATGGGCACAACACACTGCCATCACTATCACGATCGACGATCATGATGAACTTCGGATCATTCATCATATACGAACCCAATTTGCTACAACAACCACAACGATATACGCCATAAACAAAGAATAACCGCAATGCTCACGTCCAAACCCAACGTTAACACACCGGGTTTGCTTAAGGCACTCACATAACTGCAAAATACTAACGAAAACAATCGCCATCCTAATATCAAACCATGTCTTCTGCCCTAGGTAAGACGCTACGGCAATGACAATGTAAAAGACGTATTTGCAAATATGTGAGCACAACTATAGCATTAGTAAGCCTCATATTGCCACGAATGGCCTTCCGTATATAAACGTGCGGACTAAACATGTATTTCATTAAGGAACGGAAAAGGGTATCGTATCTATGACCTCCCACAACACCAAACACGCTTCGCCCAACCCCGGGTATGAAAATGCTAAAACAAATTCTACCACCCCGTCCAAGAAACAAAGTCTAAACACCCAAAATGGGAGAGGCCATCCACAACGATGCGCTGTGGAATTTCTCTCATAATTACATCCAGGTCTGTATGGGTTGCCAAACTCCAACCCACAAGTCATTTACAGACCCTCATACTTCTTGACAGCCTCATCCCATTTACGCCGCTACCTTTCTCTCCCTAGCAGCATCCCTGCCCCCACCGTCGGCCCCAGAGCTAGTTCCATGGGCCCGTTCCTTACCCAACAGCGGGATCTCATCGACACTCAGTCGCCGCTCGCTAGCTGGGTCCGTGACCCGTATGTCTCTCTCAGCCTGCTTGGTCTCCTTCGTCAAATCCTCACTTCCAGACGACAGGCGTTTCAAGTCGTCATTTGGGCTGATAGCAGGGGTCATGAGCGGTGAATGCAGTTCGGGATTAGATTGCCATTTTTGGACTTCGGCCTTCATCGACTCGAGCTCCTTCTGAAATCGTTTACCGAACACATCGATATAGAACGTCGAGCCATTGTACACACTCCACGTAAAGACGATCATGAGAAAGGCAGCAGAGGCCCAGCGACTGTAGAACCACAGAGGACATGGAATCATGGTGCATACTGCGTAGAGATACTGTATCATCATGAAGGCCGGTTCTTGTAGACTTGCGGGAAGACCCAGCACGAACTTTCCGAGGGGGTTCTTCGAATATGATTTGCGAAGCCAGGTGAA